CTGCTGTGCTGCCTGCACAGGATTCCCTGCTCCTGTCAGCACAGATATTAATGTACACACACAAGAGGGCAGAGCTGTGCTGGCACATTCCAACTTAAATATGACCAGTTCTTTGCACTGCAGGGATTACTGGGCTGTTATTTTGGGGAGAAGAGGATGAAGTGAAGGATATTATACAATTTAATGCTAATCCATTTTTTTAATCTCACTGTTCCAAACTAACAGCTGCATTCAGATCCTGAGCAACACACACACAGAGCTACTCCCCACTCACCCGGAGAGATGGAAACACCCAGGTCTCTTACATAAAACAGTGATGTAATTACCAACTAATCTATCTTAGTTAGAAACCATTTTCTTCCCACAAGGTTGGAGGTTCAAATGGGCTAAAAGATCTTGGCTCACACGTGGCCAAATGGAAAGGAGTGGGTATGGACAGATAAGGGGCTGCGCTGGCTCCTCCCGACCACAACATTCCCACCAAGGCCTTTCTTTCTGACACACTTAGAAGTATTAATTAATTTAACTCAAGGAGGTTGTTTTTATCTGGAGTTCTCAGGCAGCTTCACTCTTACAAGTTCAAAGGCAGCTTTGAAGCTGGCTCAAAGAATGGATTTATATTGATTTAAGGAAATGTATCAGGAATTCAGAAGTGATTGGCTCTGCGAGTGCACAGAATCGACTCCTCGGGGTCAGGAGCTCCTGCTGCTCAGGGTGCTCCAGCCACTGAAACACTCACAGAACCCCTCAAAATATCTGCAGGAGCAGGAGGGATCCCCACTGGCTCACCTGGGTGAGCAGGAGCTGCTCATCAAAAGCCACTTATCAACTGCTGCATGATCTGCACGTTGTTTATTATCCAAGAGCCACGCTTTGAGATTGTTTATCATCACCAAGTCACCACCCACCAAAGGGAGCTTTACTGCCCAGCAAGCAGGCAACTGGTTTTTACTGGAACCCACTGACTCCCCTTGGCTTCAAGGAGGAGCCCACACCCCTCACTACTCGAACAGGCCAAGCAGTGCATTGCAATGTATCCATTTCTAGGGTATTTTTCATTTTTCACTTAATGCCTCCAAATGTTTTGTTAACCGAAAGCCTGCAGCACCCAAAGCCTGTCACTGGATATTAGGCCAAGCTTGTGGTTGATAAATGGAAAGAAACAAAAGCCAAAGCGCTTTGCCAAAGGTCACAGTTAAGTCCTTGCTTCAAACCCTAGAAAAAAACATACCTACAAAGCATCCAAAAAAATATCCCAATGCCCAGGCCTGGGAGAACACTTAATCCCTGCTAATACTTTTATAGGATTTTCACTTTGAAAATTATCTACCTGACCCTTCCTTGGGTAAATGTGGAGGTGGTTGGTGACAATTCAGAATTCTCCTTCACAGCCTAATGGATTTCTATCCCAAGTTCTTCCCAGTGATTCAAGTGAATTCCATTTTGCTTCAGTGTATTTATTATAGTGTGTACATATGTAGGATTCTACCTTGTCATTAAAACACCGTCACTGCAGCTCACAAAATCTGAGGTCTCACCTTCATGTAGAAATCCAAATGAATTTAAAATGGTCCCATTAACCTCTGAACTGTTATGAGGCAAACATGAACTCAGAACTTACTTTCTCAATGTGTTTTTCAGTGATTAAGGGAAATAAATTCAAGTAATGCTCCATAAAAATCAACAATACAAGCTGGTCAAAGTGTATCTCTGCTCCTATAAAACGACTTGATTTGCCTGTATGGGAAAAAGAAAGTGGAAAGATGGAAGACAGCCTATCTCAATTCCAAACCAGCAAAGCATTTAGGAAAATATCTGATTGATTTAAAATGCAGGAGGGAGATGAAAAGCCCATCCCAGCAGGCTGACATTAACTCCGGATCGCTCCAAGGAACAGAGCTCCCTTTATTCCCCTCAGTTGCCTCGGGACAAAATATCAACGCAGGCAGGGTTATGGATGTTGATGGAGCAACAAAGGGAATTGATTTTGGGAGCAGCTCTCCCCGTGGGGAGGAAAGGACAAACTAATGAATGGGGTTTGCTGCTCCTGTGTCACCCTGCTGAGCAATGCCTGTCACCACAGGACGCTCCGAGGGGGCATCACCGGTCCCATTAATTCAGAGTGTGGGACGGAGAGATCCCAAACCCACCACCACAGGCTGCTCCAGAACCTTTAGACCTCCTTCAGCCTCTGTGAACACTCATACTCTTCCCTCTGGGCTGACCTGCCTGCAAGCCAGACTCTCCCAAATCCCAGCCTTTTGGGCTTTCACAGCCCAGCAGCCACACGACGGTTCAGCCACTTCACGAGCGAATTCTGCCTCCCAACTCAAAGTTATTGTTTTAGGAGTTATAAAAATAGGCTGTTAAACAGTGGCTCCACGTTTCCATTTTTTCCTGGCTCACGGGCAGGATCACAAGAGGAAAGCAAGGAACAATGAGGGGAAGCTGCTCCACTCAGGTTCAACAACATTCAACGTATTCTCACCTGCGTCGGTGAAAATGTGGTTTTTTGGCTAAAGCAACAAAACCCACGCCTGTATTTTGTCATTCCAGTTATTTCTGACGACTTTGAGATCCCATTCTCAGAAACACACATTTAATACCTCACTCCTACCCCATACAGACGCAGACAAGCTGAGTGCAGCAGCGTGATGGTTAAAACAGGGCTTCAGCCGTGACTTGGTCACACTCTGCCACCTCTGTGTACAACCACAGCCAGAGTTATTGCCCCATTTGGGGACAAATTTCACCCACACCAAACTGCTCACAGCCAACCAAGTTACACCACGTGGTCTCTGCATTTCAGGCCTGTTTGCATTAATGTTGGGTCCAGAAGACATTGATACTGGAGCTTTATCCTGCTTGAAAACACAAAGCAAACACAACAAGGCAAACTGTTGCAACAGAAAGTGGCCATTCAGTGTTTAAAAATGTCAGTTTAAAATAAGTTTAGCAGCACTCTGCTGTTCAAACAGCACTGATGTAGCCTGGCTCCTTAAAGTTCACCGTAATTCTCCTCAGCCAAACTAAAACAGGATGAGATATTTAATTAAGATGTTCTAGGAAAACCCTATTAAAAAAAACCCCACTGTCATGGGGAAAAAGCTGCTATTCTTTCCTGCCAAATTCCACAAAAACATATACAACATTCCCTGGCTCTCCCTCCTCCTCTCTTCCATGCCCCCAGCCCCTCACCCACGCACACAGGACACTGTTACATCACTCCTAGTACAAATCTTTTTGCTGCCCTCATTTCCCAGAGATTAACCATCAGGCAGCTCAAATCAGCTTTCCTTGCTGCACTAAAGTCAAATATTAAAAGGCAAAGCCCAGAGGCTTCCAAGGCATTTCAGTGGGAGCAGCCTGAGGTGTGCCAGGCACTGGAGATGCCTCAATTTACCTGCAGAGACAGAAAAGAGAATTACAAAAGTCACAGGCTGGATGACTTTTGTAAGTCACTCCAGTTTCCTTGGAGCCAAGAGTTGTGTCAGCACAAAAGGGAGATCCAGAGACACAAATAGATGGGACTTGCATGAGGCAGAACAAGGTGGGGGATATGGAGGGTGAGATCAGAACCATCACCTTCACAGGAAAGGATGGAGATGAACCATCTCCCTCAGAAGCCAAACAGCCTCACAGGAACTGGTTCAAAGTGACCAATTTAGAGTAATTTCAGAGCAATCCTTGCTCTAAAGGACTTGACAGCCAAGACAAAATAACTTTGGGGGTTATTTTTACTTGCACACAGGCCCGAAGCAGCCCTGGGCAATGTACCAAAGGGGCCTGGGATGGGGCTAAGACCTCAAGCCCCGTCTCCAGGACAGCCACACTCTGCTCAAGGGCTGGAATTCTGCTGCCAGGAATTCAGGGAGCCTGAGCTCCACAAAACAAAAGCAAAGTGGCTTTTCCAGCTTCCCAAGGCCTACATGCAAGAGGAAGAAATGTCAATGTAGTGCCCAATTGCCAAACAAGCTCCTTTTTGATGCCAGCATTATCCCACGGCAGTCAAGGAACAGGGAAGATTTCCTCCCAAAGTGTGCTCTGACAGGCACATCAGGGCAAAGGACTGAGCTCCCTGACTGAACTTTCCTGAATGGGATGGATGCAATGGAAAAGGGAGCTTGTGGCTGGCACTGGGAGCATATACTCTTAATTATACTGTGAATTGATGGGGCCCTCTGGACACTTGAGAAAGGAAAATGAATTAAAAACCAGCCCAAAGCTCAGCTTAGGTAGGCACAGAGGCTCTGCAGGGCCCAGGTGTGTGCAGGGAAGGGGAGCACAGCTCAGAGCCCCAGGGAAGGAAACACTCCTCGTGTGCACCGGGACAAGTCACATCACAGGAATAAGGGAAGGGGGGAAAGGAGGGGCTCCAACACCAAACTGTGCTGCAGGATTTACCAGGTCCCTCACAAAACAGCAGGCTTTGGTCAAGTCTTTTGAACCAATAGCTGACATTGTTCCTGTTCCAGTTCAGATTCAATCAAGATTTCAAACTGATTAACTCGTTTTCAACATGAAAAAACACCAATAACAACAAACAGAAGCAAACAAACAATAATTAAACCCAGTCACAACTTCAAATTTTGGAAAATGTGACATGAAACACTGAAAAGGACACCATGTCAGCTTCCTAAGATCATTTCCACAGCAAGACATCATCCTGAAGAACCCAAACTCAACAAACCCCTGTTGTTATTTGAGAAGATAAATGAGTATCAAACTCATTAGCAGCCCAACAAGTAAGTACACAATAAAAAAAACAGTCTCACAGATTATAAGCAAACATGATGCAGGCTGTGGGTGCACTAAGTCAGCCAGGAACAGCACTGAGCTCACAGAGACCCTAGGAAAATATTGGTATTCAGCAAACTGCAGTCTAGACAGTCTCCTCTTTTCCCAGAGGACATTTATTTCCTCCTAGACAGCTGCACACACTGTAAAAGAAATCTTAAAACCAACCTGCCCAAGAAACACAATCATATCTTCAAACAAACCTTTCTTAGGCCGAGGTTTCGGAGGTTCTGTAGCCGCCGGCAACGAAGGAACCTGGAAAGACAGAAAACAGGAGCACTAAATACACCAGGCAAGGCTTCCTGGAGCTCTGCTCCAGAAAATAATCAGAAAGGACAACTGGCAAATCCCAAAAGAGAGCATAAAAATAGCAGCACTGCTGCTGGACAAACTCTGCCCTGCCAAGCAAGGCTGAGAGTTCTGTTCCATGGGTAGGTTAAATCGACCCCCCTCATTGTGCAGCTCATTCCCCTTCCGTGGGTTCCCTGCTGTCCATCAGCATCCTGGAAAGGCAGCATTACCTTGCAAAAGGGCAGTACCCAAGCATTTAAGATGCTAATCAGAGCTCACACAAGAAAATAAGTAAAAAAACCCCCGTTTATTATAAAATATTTATGAAGGTAATTAGAGCAGAGCTGTTCCTGGGGAACCCCCCGGGCCCGCAGGGGGTGAGGGCAGCAAACCTCGACCTGCAAACACTGCCCAGAGCTCCCAGGCCATGGAAGATAAATGCACTTTTTACCATTTCCTTACTTTGCATCAAAAATCAAGCCTTCCCAGAAGAGAAACAGGATTACACAGGGAAGCACTTTTATTTTTTACTTCAGTATTTGGGGAAGAAACACTCCTCGCTCCTCTTCCCCAGAGACAACACAGGATTTCATACACCTGTGTCTCCTCCCCTCTCCTTAATTAACAATCTTTTAAAGCACAGATTCAGTCAATCCTTGCTCCTTGCAATGTTTTGGGAACATTTTCTAATTGCATCATTTTTTACTGGAGATGGGGAGGATCAGAGATGCTGAGTACAGTACCTGAGACATGTAAAATAACCTAAGAAAGGCTCTTCCTTTTTTTATTACTGTTTACTTTTTCCTGTTTCTTACTAGCTTCTAAAATTTTATTCATTTTGCTGATTGTGAAAAGCTGAGTGGATATTTTCACACAATTCCCCAAAGCCAAGCACTCATTCCTCAGCAGCAATAACCAGCACCAACCCCTCATTTTTTTGATCTGTTAAAAAACTTTTTTTTAATCTGCACCCATCACTCCAATTCTAAGTCCTCTCACTCAGCACTGTTGAGACTTCCCAGCAGTTTCTTGTATTTCCTCCTCACCTGAGTTACTTTCTAGTCAGGCTTTTGTGCAGATCATTTCTAGATACACTGAACAACCCAGGCCTGGGGGAATTCACAGCAACCACCCTCCAGCACAAAAAAATCAGAAAATCCTGGAGTGGTTTGGGTTAGAAGAGACCTTAAAGGTGATCAATCCCCACTCCCCTGCCATGGGCAGGAACACCTTCCACTAGCCCAGGTTGCTCCAAGCCCCATCCAACCTGGCCTTCAACACTCCCAGGGATGGGGCAGCCACAGCTTCTCTGGGCAACCTGTGCCAGGGCCTCTCCACCCTCACAGCCAACAATTCCTTCCCAATATCCCATCTATCCCTGCCCTCTGGCAGTGGGAAGCCATTCCCCCTTGTCCTGTCCCTCCAGGCCCTTGTCCCAAGTCCCTCTCCAGCTCTCCTGAAGCCCCTTTAGGCCCTGGAAGGGGCTCTCAGGTCTCCCTGGAGTTTCTCTTCTCCAGCTGAACACCCTCAGCTCCCTCAGCCGCCGCTCCTGGTGCTCCAGCCCCTTCCCCAGCTCCACTACCCTTCGCTGACACGCTCCATCACCTGCTAACCGATTATTAATATTATTTACTTCAATGAAGGCTGAATTTCCCTCATGTTTTTCATACCAAGTGCGCAAAGATTAAAAAACTCGCTCTTAACCTTAACCGCTCTTAACCGCTTAAAACACCTCCCGCCGCCGCCGCCCCTCGCCTCCCTCCACCTCTGCTCGCCCCCCTCCACCTCCGCTCGCCCCCAGACCCGCCTGTCCCCTCTCGCCCCCCGTAACCCGGTGGACTCTCGCCCCTCACCGAGGAGTCCGGCGGCTCCGCCATAGCCGCGGCGGGCCGGGGTTGCCATGGCGACCGCCCGCCACTTCCGGGGCGGCCATGGCGCGCGGGGCAGGGCGGGAAGGCGGCGGTGGCGGCGGGAGGACCTCGGATATTCTCCCCCCCAGCGTCCCCTTTGACGTGAAAAACACCCGAGAAAACACAGAAATTATACAATGTCCCTTTATTGGAGGGTTTTATTGGGAACCCCGCGAGGCGAGTGGGCGGCTAGGCCGCCAGTGAGGAGTAGACGGCCCCGGGAAGTGCTGCGGGGCCGCGGCCCCGCTCGCCCAACCCCGCAGAGCAGCAGCAGGGAGGGACCTTTTCGTGAGGGCTTTTGTTTATTCTCCTTTATATTCCCACAGCGTCCGGGGGGATGGCGCCCTCAGAGCCAGGTAATTCACCTGGGAGCAACTGGAACCCGGAGGAGAGGAACGGCAGCAGGTTCTCCCACAGAACAGGGTGCTAATTACCATTATCTTAAGGTTTGCCATCAGGGTCGAGGATGCCACAGATCAGGTTTCCTTTGGGAATTACCGTTATCTTAAGGTTTGCCAACCGCCATCGGGATTCGAGACACCACAGCCCAGGTTCCTTCGGCTTGCAGCAGGTTCTCCCACAGAACGGGGAGTTAATTACCATTATCAAGGTTTTCCAACAGCCACGGGGATTGAGGACGCCACAGCCCAGGTTTCCTTTGGGTTGCAGTGCCCACATCCTCGGTGTGTTCCTTTTGTGGAAACCCAGCACCTGTGTTCTTCCACCTGCCCAGCCCACTGCGTGTTTTAACACAGGAATGCAGAATTCCCAATGGGAAGCCCGTGCCATCCCACCCCTCCAGCACCATCAGGAAAAGCACAGGGAAAGCGGCTGCAGTCCCTCACATCTGACTTGCAGGTCAAATAAAGGGAAAAGCAGGTACAAAGGGATAAAACTACATCCCTGGAACGTCAGTAGTGTTGGTGAGGGAGCCAGTGTGACTCTGGTGCCAGCTGGAAGCAGCATTCCATGTTCTAGCCCTGCCTTTTTTATTTGACCCCTTCACACCTTTGATCCCCCTGGAAGTTGCAGAAGGCTGGGAGGACAGTTGCCTGGCGAAAAATACCACAGGAGGAATTCCTATACAGGAGTAAATTTAATAAAACCACCACCAATTGTTTACTTTAACATAGCTCTTGTTACAGAAATCATAAAAATGGACTCAGTAGCTAAACTCATTAGTTCTTTCCCCTTTTAATTGAAAAATACTCCGCTGATTTCAGCTTCTACTGCACTAGCTGGAGTGTTAAATAGTTGCCAGGACAGGATGCCCAGTGAGTGAGCCCAAAACAAACACAAAGACAATTCCATCAGGTTTCCTTTTCAATGTTACGACTCGTTATAATGTAAGTGAAAATTAAAACAGCAAGGAAGGGTCCATTTGACAGATGAAAGGGGGAGGGAGAGGAGATCCACAGCCGAAATCTCGCCAGAAGTCTTTGGAGAAGTGGTGCCAAACACCCCTCCTTGTCCTGCCTCGGGATCCAAAATAAACCTCTAAACACACACACACACCCCTCCTCTGGGTTCAGAGCACGTGTCCTGCGTGCACGGGTGGGAATGGAGAGTTGGATTTGGGCAGGAAAAGATCCGGGGCCGAAAATAAAACAAGAAAAAAGGCAAAGCATCCTGACCCAGAGCTCCAGGAGCTGCGAGGGGCCGCGTCCGTCGCCAGCAATGGATACACACACGGGCCCGGGGGAGGCCCTGGACAGAAAGGAACTGCAGGATAAGAGGAGAAACCCAACTGCTCTGGTAAAAGCCTTCCAAAAAAAAAAAAAAAATAAAATATATATATAGATATATTCACTACACCAGCACACGCTTCCCCCACCCCAGCCCAGGGAAAAAAAAAAAAAAAAAAAAAAGAACAAAACCAAACAAAAGAATCAAACTGAAAGAAAATGCACAGCAAATAGACATAATCTTGAAGATTTTTAAAGAATAAATATTTTTTTGTAATTAAACATTATGCAAACACGTGCCACGCTTGCTCTTTGTCCATGCATATGCGCTATATACAACTTTGAAAAATACTGTGTTGTCCTCTTTTTGTTTTAAAATTCATATACAAAGGTTGGTTTTTTTTTTTTTCCTTGCTGTGTACCCCCCTCCTCCCCTTCCCAAAAATCCGCTTTACGACGAGCCAATAATCCACATTCATCCGTGTACTTGGGTGGCAGAGAGGAGGAGGGGGGCGGGAGAGCCACCCCCCCCTTACCAAAGTCCATCAAAATGGCTGGTTTGGACATGAAAAGCAGTGTCAAGAAACTGGTTTAAATTTCATCTGTACTACACACAGGAAAAGAAAGAGAGAAAAGAAAAAGGAGTCGGCTTGGAGGATGAAGCTACGTTACAAGTTAAAGTTGGAGGGTTTTTAGTGCGTCTGTCACACTCTTGGCCGCCTAGAATACTGTTGTACAATGGTTTATCTACCTTTTTTTTTTTTTTATTACAATATAATTTACTTAATTTTTCTGTTAACAAAACAGAATCCCGGTACTACAGACCAGCGGTGTAAGAGGCGGAGCAGCGCCCTGGGTGGGTTTTATTGGAATTGCATGAGCACTCTAAGATGGGAAAGGGTTCAGAGTTCGTTCCTGCAGGGCCGGGCTCAGTCCTCGATGTACTCCCACAGGTCCTTCTCGTAGCCTTCATGCACGTGCTGCAACAAAACCCTCCGTCGGCTCTCGCAGTATCTGCAGGGAAGAGGGACAGCGTGGAAAAGGCGGGTTAGGAATCACGGAGCATCCCTGGGACCTACAAATCCAAACCTACATCACGCCTCGCTTCCCAAAGTTAACAGCCCTAATTAAGACTCTGCTTACTCCAGTCACTCAGCTCCAGGTCCCTTACTGGAAAACCAGTGTGTAAATCGGGAGTTTCCCCACAGTCCCTACAGCCGGGAAGCCTGCAGGAATAATGGAAAAGGAGGCAGTGGCTGTGGTTTGTGGGGACACCCGGAATGGGACGAGCTCTCCTCAGACGTGGGCTGGTGCCTGCTCTGAGCCCCATCAAGACAACAAAAATGCAGGAGTTAGCTTGGAAAAACTGTCTTGAAGTGCTGAAGGCCAGGTTGGATGGGGCTTGGAGCAACCTGGTCTAGTGGAAGGTGTCCCTGCCCACAGCAGGGGGGTCAACTGGATGGTCCTCAAGGTCCATTACATCCAAACCACTCCATGATGAAAACCTCAGGAATGCTGACACAGTTTTATTTCCCAGTGGAGATGGAAGCAGTCCAAAGGATTACTGGTCTGCCTGGAGAGCAGGGTTCACCTCACATCCCTACACCTGGCTCTCAGACGGACACCACACCCTCAGGCTCTTCCCACCTACGCTCACTGAAACAAAACTGCACATAAAACTGATCCCAGAGTCTGGCCCAGTCCTACCAGGATCACTGACACTGAGGAAAAAGGGTTATCAGAGAACATGGCAAAGGATGTCACAGCCAACTAAAAAGATAAAAAGCAGAGAAACATTTAAAGAATTCAGGTTCCAAGAACAAATTCTAAATAAGTAGCAGGTGTTTCTGAATTCAACCTCTTCCAGCAGCAATCCCAAAGTCTGCAGCACCTTTAGGGATGTGGGGGACACACCAAGTCTCAGTGAGAGTTCCCAAGGCCCCAAGGGCAGCTGTGGGGCTGGTCTGGCAGCACCCAGGCTCTGAGGAGAGAAACTGGAACCCAGGAGCCAACTGAGCAGTTACCAGTTCCTGCTGGGAATTGTGTGGTTCAGCTTCCAGGCAGGTTCCTGGGTCAGGATGGCATCCGAGGGGCTCTGGCTGCTGGGAACCCGGATTGCTCGGCAGTGGTCACACATCCCTCAGGAGGAATCTCCCAGCAGGGAGCTATCCCTGATCACACACAGCCTAACACCTGGTAGGAATTCCTCACCTACCGCTCAGTATCTGCTCACACTGACAGATTTACCCCAATAAACCAGTCCTGGCTTTCCTTGCTGCTGTCAGCTGTTGCAACATAAACCCTCGTATACAAAGTCCCATTGATTTTTGGGAGCATGTGATGGCAAACACACACAATTTCTGCCTTCCCAACTTTAGTTATTTTCCTGCTGGGGGGAGGGAGGGGTGTTAATCCTGTTTTCTAGAAATGTCTTTGCAAGCAAAGAGATCCAAACAGCTGAAACCAAACCAGCCCACAGGGCAGTTCCTGCAGCTTCCCAGGGCTCTTTAAACCCACCTCGATGACATCCTGCTCCCAGTCTTGCATCAAAGAACACCGTGCAGGACATGATTAAGACATGACTGAACTAGTTAATGAAGGACCTGCACAGGCTTGACAGATGAATACTTTCCTCCCAGAAATGTGAAGGCAGGTTTGGGATACTGTTTCCAGGCTATATTAGGTTTTAATTTCATCCCTAGAAGAGCATCCAGGTTCAGAGGACTGAAGTGAACAAGCAGCTTGATCTGAAATGCCAACTTAATGGTGGCCTTAAAGGGTAAATTACAAAATGCCTCCAAAGAGGAGGTCAGGTGAGTCTTTGGCAGCACAGCTGGGGTTGGATGACTCGGGCAGGATGGGCCACAGGCCCACCAAAGCTTAACAGCTCCTTCCACTCCCCACAGTCCATTAGTCACCACGACTCACCCTACTTTGGATTTTTTCTTCCCCCTAAGCCAGGCATAACAAATTCAGTGACTCTGGCAAAATGCCTCAGAAATGAAAGCCATAATCCTGTGACTCATCCGCATTTTCAGCTTTGTACTTTTCCACTGTGCAGAAGTGATTCCCCAGGGACTGCACAAAGCCCTGGCATCTGTGTCACCTGGCCCCCAGTCCCCTGCTCCCCTCCTCAGCTGGACAGGCTGCTCCCTCCCTCTTCCTTAGGGACAGCTCCCCTACACCATTTTGCACAAACGGACCCTGCAGATGATTAAAAGAGCCGATTGCTCCCTGCTGGCAACTCATCCCAGGCCAAAGCTGGCAGTTTGGAACAACAAAGTCACTCCTTGTTCTTTGGCCCTCGCTGTGCAATCCCACCCTGGTCCTGGCCATTCCCACATGCTCCTTCTGTGCAGGAACAGCAGTGCATGAACAGCCATTGCTTCTGGTCACAGGATTTTTTCCATTCCGGGGTTGGATCTTCCAGCTCCTCTGTGGAGCAGATGGAAGGCAGAGCTGGGAGCCTCTCCCCAGGCTGTCACCTCCCCCAGGAGCTGGTCCCAGCAGGGGCACAAAAACACACTGCCAGCCTGTGTGTGAGGCTTCTCCATGAGGATCCAGGGGCTGGGCAGGCTCCAGCTGCTGCTGCTGCTGCTCCCAAATGCCCAGGGACTGGTTCCTGATCCCAACGGATGGCACAAGGCCAACAGCAAACAGCTTCCCAGGGATGTGGCTCTGGAGAAAACTGTATCTTGGCAAGTGCTCAGGCCACTGCCTGTCACAGGGGATGGCAATACTCAGGCAACTTTGAGAGAGAGGAGTATCCCAACACAAACCTGTACTTATCCTGTACTTTCTGCTTTATGTCTTGCAGCGAATCTTGGGATATATCTCGCTCCAGGTACCCAGAAAGCACCTCTGTAGCATTCTCTAAGTCTGCTTGGTTATTCTACAAAGACAAAAGAAAAATAGTATTTAGGGGGGGCTAAATATATATATATATTTATATATAAAATATATAATATTTTTTCTTCAGCACAACTGAACAGTACCAAAATAAAAAGTGGGATTAGATATCAGGAATCACAAAATTATGTGTGTTGGAAGGGAGCTTAAAGCTCATCTCATTTCACCCATGGGCAAGGACAACTTCCATTAGACCGGGTTGCTCCAAGCTCTGTCCAACCTGGCCTTGGACACTTCCAGGGATGGGGCAGCCACAGCTTTGTGGTTCTGTGATTCCTCCATCAGACACAGCCCTACACAATATTCTATTCCAGAGAATATTAACACAGACTCAAACTGGTAAAAGTGGGGCCAAGAGGTCTCCAAGCATTAAATCCCTATTTCCTTAGCTTTGCAATCTGAATCCCTGACAACCACATTTTCTCCTACCTCAAAGATAATGGACTGATTATTCTTTTTGAGGTAGAAGGCAAAGACGTAAGTGTACATGAGTGTGGCACGACACTGGCAGAGGACGTCGACCGCTTTCTTCAGGAACTGCACCTCGATCCACGACATGTTGTGCTGCTGCATCTCCTCCATCTTCTGCTTCACCTGAGCGTAGAGCTTGTGCTCGAAGCGCAGGCTCTGCATGTGGTTCATGTAGCGGTTGCAGTAGAACAGGTACCTCTGCAGGGCTGCTCGGGATCGCTGTGTTAATTCCCATTAGGGAGAAAGAAAACAAATAGTTAAAACAAAGTAATGGCTGCAAGAGAAGTAAACCCTTCACCAGGCTCTTCCTGACCCGCACATTGGCCTTCCTTTCCCAAGGAGTTTCCTTTCCTCTCACGTTGACCAGACGAATTCGTGCGGCCCCGCTGACCCCGACACTGGAGGCGACAGCCCAGCCCCTGTCTCGCTGGCACAGGGGACTTCCTAGCACAGCTCTGACATCCTCACTCCTAACCTTGGAAGTTACACTGCTAAAAGTCACACTGCTAAAGCCTGATCACGTTTGTGTTTCAGCCACTCAGCCGCTTCCAGAGTCATGACAAACAGTGAGAAGATGATTTTATCTTTGTGTTTTTTTTTTTTTTTGGCTAATGAAGAATTCTAATTAAACAATTACTGTGCTCATGTTAAGAGGGCAACCTTAGGTTGATTATAGAGCAGGGAAAGACACCGTGTGCTAAACAGTGCAAGAGAACCAAGATGACTCAATACACTCTCATTAATCTTATTTTCTTCACACTGACAGACCAGCTGTAAAAAAATAACACCACGGGCACGGTTCAACTTGTGTGTTGTGGATGTACAGAGGTAGCACATACCAGCAAAGCCATCCCTATCTTAACACTGAAAGACTTAACCGTCCCTTAGATTTGTGCCCAAATCCATGAATTTCTCCAGAGCAGCTGTGTAGGTTTACAGAAAGCACAACCACAGGGCTGGTGATCTCCCTCATCACCAAAGGTTATGGACTCACCTCCTGTGCATCCCTTGCTGCCTTTGCATCATCCTCATTGTAGCGATTACAGTTGTACCTGTAACGGGGACACCGATTCCACAGATTTCAGTCCAAATCCATGCCGGTGGCACCACGACCTCCTCGCCCTCCAGCAAGGCACGCTCCCGAACTCACCAGGCAGATCCGTGGGGCTCCCAGGGGCCCAGACACACCCAGCAGAACTCCGCCTTGCAGTTCTGGTTCCGACAGACCATGTGGTTGCAGCCCCCGTCCTTCTCGATGGTGACGTGGCATTTCGGGCATTCCTGTCCACAGGACAGAGAGCACCATTAGCAGGGCAAGCACGGGACCCACAACAGCCTGGCAACTTGGAAGGGTTTCCATGGCAGCAAGAGAGAGCACATCAAGTGAAATACATGATTTAATTCTTCCCTTTGAACATCAAGATCCTCTTCCGAGTCAGGCCTTAAAATACTTCCAAAACTGGAGCAGCTAGATAGCAAAAATAAGGAATAACACATTTTATCTTTGCTGCTCTCACAGTGGTACACTGGATGGGTCACTTCATGACCTTCCCCAAAAATCCCAGCAGCAGCAGTGGTCTGGAACAGCCCAGGGAAGCGTCTGGCTTTCCTCACCACCGAGTGTCTGGTCCACGCCACGCTCAGACTGAGCTGGTATCACGCTGTTACCGATCCGAGACACCTGCAGCTGTAAAATGCCATCCAGAAAGGATCTGAAAACATGCAGCAAGAATCTAGTGTGCTTCAAAGAACCTGCTGTCAGCTAAAAAGACACTTCTCCTCCTGAGGTGTTTTCCGCGTTTCCCATCAGGTCCCTTTTTTCCCCTTCATGTGACACCTCACTGAAGACTTTTCCACAAAAGCTCACACAGGGTTTCCCTTTCGGGTGAGAGGCCTTTGACAAATGTGAGGATCTCAAAGAGCAGCAGTGCACTGGGAAATATCTGGGGAATAGTTTGGGATTTTTTTATAACACCAATATCACAGTCTCGATGAGCTTAGAAATCAACAAATCAAGAAAGCAGCAAATGCAGAGGAAAAAACACCAACAATAAAACCAATTTAGGCCAGATCAGCTCATCCCACAACCACACCAGCCTTCATGGAGTTTTTGCAGAAGCCAGTTTTGAACTACAAGGCAGTAACAAATATATCCAAACAGATAATACACACACCTGTAAATTCAGCTGCAGCTTTTGGGTCAGAAGCTTGTAAAACCCCCTCCCCAGCTTGGAGCACATCTTTGCTGATCAGAGCAACCAGTTCCTATGCTGGTGTTCAGAGAAACTCTCAGGTAAAGGGAGAAACCAACTCACACAGTCACTCAAGAACTGCTATTTTTACACAGGACACAATCCAAGAGGTTCCTGTTATCCCACTCTGAGTGTCCCAACTATTACTGCTTTTCCGCAGAGTTTGCCTGTTCGTATTGTCTGGGACAGGAGAATTTACACACCGAACCAAAGGGTTCAAGCAGCAACCAAGCACATAAAGGGTTTTTTTCCAGGCCTGCCTCCTCCTGGTCATCTGTGTTTGTCCTACAGAGTAACTGTACTACAAACTAAGTGAAGCACAGTAGCTCCTATGCTGGCCCTCTCGGGGGCACAACACCGAGCTGTCCCCTAGGACCCTCCACAGGATGGATACTCAGCCAGGAAAGCTTTTTCCCAATTAGTCACTGCAGTTCTGTGAACTTCACAGTCAAAATACCATCTCCTTTGATCAGAGCACCCAGTGCAGCACCTATTTTCCTTTTGCAGGCAGCCCTCTTCCCTCTACCAATCCTGCACCAACAAGTCAAGACTCAGATTCAGGTTTATCCCAACAATATCCTTCCCGGCTGAGAGGATCCCTGCTCCATATGCTGCTCAGCCAAGGTGCCTGTGGCTAACAGGTACAGACAGTGGCACTGCCCTCATCCCCCCACGATGGCCCCAGGACACAGAGCCACGGGTGGTTTTCAGAGCAGACGGTGGTCGCAGAGCTGTGCAGCTCTTCCAGGCACATCCCATCTGACGAGGTGCCGACGTCCGCGGTGGGAGACATGGCTCATCCAAACAGTTGCTGGGATCCCTCCTGCTCAGCAAAATCCCACAGCTGGAACACAGGGAGGAACGGTTCCCAGATGACCTGCCAAGCTAGAGAGGTGCCATGGGGCACGTCCACACCACCAGGGTGTGGGGCCACCTCGCTCCCAGCGAGGTTCAATCAGGAGCACAGAAGTTCTGCCCTCTGGCTTTGAGGTGGGACCAAGTTTTCCAGGGTGTCCTTAGTGCTCAGGGCTTCAAGCTCTGGGATGCAAACTAGGACAAAAAGACCCTTCCAGTGCCTAAAGGAGCTCCAAGAGCTGGAGAGGGACTTGGGACAAGGGCCTGGAGGGACAGATCAAGGGGGAATGGCTTCCCACTGACACAGGGCAGGGTTAGATGGGATACTGGGAAGGAATTCTTCCCTGTGAGGCTGGGGAGGCCCTGGCACAGGTTGCCCAGAGAAGCTGTGGCTGTCCCATCCCTGCAAGTGTTGAAGGCCAGGTTGGACAGGTCTTGGAGCAAGCTGGGATAGTGGAAGGTGTCCCTGCCCATGGCAGGGGGTGGAACAAGATGGGCTTCAAGTTCCCTTCCAACCCAAACCACTCCATGATTCTGTGATCTAATTATAGCCCTTTTCTCACAGGGAATGCCATCCTTTCCAAGCTCCTGTCAAGCAAAGCACAAGCAAGAGAGGTGACACAGTACAGACCCACAAAGCTGTGTAAAAGTGTAGAAGTTGAACATGATTAAAAATTAAAGCCATGAAATGCACATACTAAAGAAATGCTGAACACCAGTCGAAAAAAAAAAATCGTAGCTACTCAAGCCACCAACACAACAAGTGGGAGAGATTTGTAGATTAAGGAGGATAGGGAAGGAAGATCTTCTTGAGAATTACGGCTACACAACAACATAACAGCCAGCAAATCAAGTTACTAAACCTGCAGAGTATTCTGCACATTATCAGTCATACCAGGACACAGAAGTGACCTCATTTACATTGTTCCACCCAAACAATTTCATGCTGTGCTTGGAAACAAAAGTCTGGGCAAACCTGGCAAAGGAGAACAATCCTGATTCTGTCCTAAAAAAAACACCGTAAACCTCAGCTGCTGTTTTATAAACAGGAGGCTAAATAGAAATACATTTCTTATTTCAGGGCAGGTGAAAGAGATTAGTCCTCTCCAGAACTCCCACTGATGGCCATCAGCCTCCCAGCCACATTCACAGCAACACCATCACCTCTAACCCGTCCTGAAGAGAAAGAATTCTCTAACACCACAGGATTTCTTAATGCTTTTCAACAAAACCCAAAACTGCTGAACTTAATTAAGGTTAGCACAAAGTAGTACACCCTGACAACACCTAGAGTCACAGAGCCAAGCTTTTTTAAACATATTTGAAACACCAGCTCATCCGAGAGGAAAAGATGGCACTTGGACACCTTTGGAAAGATGCTGTTCACACCCCGGCACGGTGAGAAACGAAGGAGCACAGTTCAATGCTGGGGAGGATCGTGAGTGCTGCCAGAGCTTCCACGCCTCAGAACAAGTGTAGGATTTCCAGAAAATACAGAGGGAGCGTGTGTTCAGACATTAAAAAGTGACCTGAAAAGGGAGAGAACTGGGTTTGTGCCATTTTATCTCGCTCAGAGGAGAAAAGGGCCAATAGTTTCTCTGGAGGAAGAAAACGTGCCTGGTTTGTACATCAGCCATTCAAGCCCTGTCTAGCCCGGAAGGTGACGATGGGATGTGCCAGGAGCCAGGAGCAGCAAGGCTGGGGCGTTTTTAGTATCAGATGAACAACTTTCATTAATGCCAATTTAACTTCAACAATAAAACCCAGTGCCTTGGGTGAAGATCTGCACCGTTAGTCTTTGTTCTTCTTCCTTTAGGAGATTAACATCGCTGACACTCAGGTTTAAAACCAGTTTCCCCTCCTCCTTTTAGGCTACTTTCAGCCAGTCTTGATACATCTTCAGAGCCCAAAATAAATGCACAAATCCAAGTTTTCTATAGTTTGCCCTCCTCTGAATGTCCACTTAACAGAAGTAATGGATCTCTGTGGTTTCTTTATTCCCAAATATCTGAAACCTGCCAGTTTAACTCAAGAAAGGAACTCCTGAAGAACCAACTTTGTCCAACAAACTGGAAAAGAAAGAAATGTGCAAATCCTTGGATTATTCAACCCTGTTCTTCAAGAAGACTGAGAACTACAGGCTTGATAAAGAACTTGTATTGCCTTATCTCAACTTTAAATTAATTTAGTTAAGCTGAACTCATGTGAAAGTAGCTTAGTTTAAGAAAAAAGCCATCTACTCCAGCACACTGCTGCAAGGGCTGTATCTTTTGTAGAAGTAGAAGGAATTTAGGTCTCCTAAGTGCAAGTAAATGAATGCAAAAGGATAAAAAAATTATATCGGAAACCACAGAACTCGCTACTCAAATCTCCTCGTTTTTCATTCAGACCATTCTACATAATTCATCCAAAAATGCATCACATCATTCCAGTTTGGGAACAGAACCCAATTCAGCTGGGTTTCACTTTTCTATTCTCTAACACAACAATTGCCTAATTTTCCTTTCCCATTCCGTCCCCCAGGACAAGCCGGAACAAATGTATCTCACATTCTCCGGTTGCAGAGGATTAGCCAGATTTCAAGCCCACATTCCAGAGGATTGGTATTTGTCTCTTACACCTTCATCTTGGTACAACAGGAAGTGTCCTTTCCTGACTGGAGCCCACATGGGACAGGGCTGCAGCTCAGCCTCATGCCTGGATGGCTCCAGAAAGCCCTTTCCAAAAGCAAGAAACAGCAACGGAGCCCGTAGTCACAACTGAAACGCTTGGAGAGTTTTTCCCACTGGAAATGGGGATTTTTGCATCTGATGGTACCTGATTCCTTTCTACGTTCTTCAAAATGAAGAAATTCAACGCAGACTTTGGGCTCTGACTCTCAGTCCCTGAAGCCAACAGCTGTGCAGGCACAAGACCTGCCTCGACGAGCATGACTGCCCTGTTTTCCTGCTAGGAAAAGTACAGAGAGAGAGAAAGGACGGATGGATGCGTGCTCCAACTGTGCAATTCCCATCCCAGCCTATCACTCATGCTACAGCAGGACAGGCTTTTCCTTGGTTCCAGGAGGAACTGTGCTCCTCTCAGACACGCCCTTGGGTTTCTCCGTTGCTCTGGCCAAGGCCCGGCGGGAACTGAGGCGGGAGGAGGTGCTGGCTGGGGGACTCTGGGCCCATCCAGTTCTCCAGGGGCTCTGAAGCCCCCATGGCACATGTCCCAGCAGCCAGAGGGTGAGATTCCCACCTTCCCCACCCTGCTGCCCACAGAAGGCAGAGATCAGCACGAGGGGTGGGTTACTCTCCCTGCCAACTTTCCCCTCAACCAAATCCAGTGTCAGTTCAGAGAGAAGAACTGTCACACTGTCCTTCAGCTAATTCAATGGATATGGATACCACAAGACTCCAGGACAGTTGGCTTTTCCTCCCTATTGCAGCCTGCACTCCAAAGTATTTCCACATAGGAGTGTCTTGGAAGATGTAGCTTGGACAGTGCTGTTCAAGGACAACAGCTCTGCTGCTCACACCAGACTCCAGGAACTAACAGAGAAGCTGGGCTGGTGCCAGATGCCACCCTCCTGATGGGTGTTGCCCTCCCAAAAAATCTTATTATTCCCAAGGCAGTGTCAGGTACAGGATGGGAAACCCCAAGATCCTCCCCCTGAGGGGCAGCAACAGATCCTGAGGGCTTTGACAGGCAAAATACGGCTGTGACTGTTCCAATGTCCCAAATGTTTGATACCCAAGGCTAGCAGTGCTTACACTCAGCCTCTTCCAAGCTATTGGCTGCTCTTCCTCAGGTTTAATAGGAACAGGACCTGAAGACCAACAAACTCTGATCAAATCTAGTTCAGTTCTCGAGCCATGATAGGACACACTCAAACAAAGGCAAATTCCCTTTGTTGTCAATGTGCAGGCTCCAAGCAGGGACACACAGCCCTCAGCCCACGGGACACTGCCCAATTCCAGCCTGATTCTAACTGCAGGATGGGTGTTTCTCTTTCACCATAATGCAACATTCCAGTTCAATGAAAACCAGGCAGGCAGCCCCAGAAAGCAGCGAGGCTGCTGCAAACAATGCCATTAACCAGTTACACAACAGAGCTAAGAAAACAAAGCAGCCATTTCCTCACTCCCTCCCCACCTTCCTCCACCCTCAGGCTCCAGCCAGGAGCCCCCGGCTTGATCCTCACCCCCCAGGGCATCTGCTGCTTTTGTCTCCTTGCCACCACACCAACCCTGGCTTTTATTCATCCCAAAATCATCAAACCCTGAAGTTTCAGGCAAAAGTTGGGCTAACTAGGATGAAGACATTTACATAATAAAATCTCAACCAGCTGTTCTGCCAGTCCAGACCTGGAATGCTGCCCAGAGGAAATGAACCACTCCGGAGGCCAACCCCTGGGATTCAGAGGCAGATGTAAGTGATCCCAGCAAAACCAGCACGGGTGGTGGGAACATGTTGCACACATGGAGCGAGGTACAGGCTTGCTTAGGGAAGCCACTGGTGCCAGACAGGAGCCCAAACACCTAAATCTCAAGCTTTGGCTCTCCAATTAACTCTTTCTTCCGAGAGCAAACGCCACTGAACCTGAAGGAACTCACCTGTTTGCTCTTCAAACAAGAGCACTTGAGTGTACTGTACATTTTAAGGCTTGCTCTTAGCATGGAAGAGAAAAAAAATCCTAGTGCAGAGGAATTTGCTTGATATATCTATATAAAAATCTATATATAAAACATGAGAAACCCCCTCACCTTTGTGTTGGCTGCAATCCAATTAGAAGTTTCACTGTCATCATCACACTTCTTAATCCATTTCTTTAACCACTGTCAGAAAAATGGTGAAAGAACAGAGTTAAGTCTAAATAGAGGAACTGGAAATGTTCCCAAGGCACCTGCTTGCATTAAGGAAAGGTACACACAGCCACATGGGAATAGGGGGGGTAAGTGCTGGGAAACTGTGCAAACAGCAGCTAATTTAGGTGCAGACAGTTCCTGCAGCACCGTCCTGATCCAGCAAGCACGAGCACCCTCACAAACACTTCTGCAAACTCATTACTGCTCTCCAGTTGAATCAACACAAACTTCGTGGTGGCCTCTGAAATAGTAAGGACATTTGGGTTCCGAGGTGACCTAATTTTGACCTTCCAGAACCTGAAGGGAGGTGACAAGAAAGATGGAGAGAGACTATTCTGAAGGGCCTGGAGTGACAGGACAAGGGGGAATGGATTCAAAGTGACAGAGGGCAGGGTTAGATAGGATATTGGGAAGGAATTCTTCCCTGTGAGGGTGGTAAGGCCCTGACACAGGTTGCCCAGAGAAGCTGTGGCCGCCCCATCCTTGGAAGCATCCAAAGCCAGGTTGGATGGGGCTTGGAATACCCAGTGGAAGCTGTCCCTGCCTATGGCAGAGGAGTGGGATTGGATCACCTTTCAGGTCCTTTCCAAACCAAACCAGTCTCTTAACAGTGATGTGCCAAAACTGCTGTCAGACCCTCTGTGATGCCGAGCTTCACATCAGCCAGGTTTTATCTCAGGCTTGCAATGCTTGCCTCATGCTCATTTCTTTTTTAAACCTTAGTGAGAACATGGCTTTATCAAAGTCACAAAAGCAAAACACTGCTTGCATCTGCTAGATAACAACCTGACCGCATCCAGCCTGGAAAGACCAACTAAATCCTGCTGAACCTTTGCTGGGGTTCCCCTCCTCTCTCCCAGGGCAGGTTTTGTGTCCCTAGGAAGGCAAAGTCCTCTGTCCCCAAGGCATGGAACACATCTGTCCCTGAGCTCTGCACAGGTCACAGCATCCCAGGCTTGGTTACAGTTTCTGACAGCTCCACAAGCAGTTCTACAGCTCAGGGCACTGCAGCAGGTCCAGGACCAAACTAATTCCTTCGGTACAACAGATCACACGCCTGACAAAGCAGCAAACACCGACAGAAACACCTCCTACAGGAATGCTCCTTGTCCAAAAAGCATATTCCTCCCTCTGCAGAGGGTCACAGGTGGAACAGCCTCCTCCTCCTCCACACATTTCCCACCTGGCTAAGGCACCTTTCCTTCACAAGGTCCAACTCTGAGGCTCTCAGCATGGCAGGAAAGGCCCCCAGTATGATTTAAGTGGTTCTTTGCCCCCTGTGGTCCTAACAGCTGAGCTACTCTGCTTCCTGATGGGAACAAGAGTTGGACTCAAGGATCCTTGTGGGTCCCTTCCAACTCAGGATATTCTATGGTAGGCCAAGCTTGGGCTTCATTTCTAAGTCCTGCACACAAACTGACTTTAAACTTCCAAGTCATACATTTAGAAAAGAACTTTGATGTGCTCACCTTGCATTTAACAGGATCATGCCAGTTTTCACCGCAGTTAAAGCTGTGAGGGAAGGAAAGGGGGAAAGTAAGCAAACAGGGCAGGTAATTGTACTTTTAATTAAACAGGGGAAGTTTTCTTCTGAGTTGTTCTAATGAGAGACCAGAACCAGTCCTAAGGAAATATCTAAGCCTACACTGCCCTCCAGCATTAAATCCCTCAAAATAGCATAGGACAAGGGGGGGGGAATAGCTTCAAACTGACAGAAAGCAGGGTTAGATGGGATATTGGGGAGAAATCCTTCCTTGTGAGGGTGGGGAGGCCCTGGCACAGGCTGCCCAGAGAAGCTGTGGCTGCCCCATCCCTGGAAGTGTCCAAGGTCAGGATGGACGGGGCTTGGAGCTATCTGGTCTAGTGGAAGGTGTCCCTGCTCGGGGCACAGGGTGGGATTGGATCACCTTTCAGGTCCCTTTCCAACCCAAACCAGTCTGGCATTCCATGAATGCACACTATCACACTTTCAAGGCAGTAAGTACAGAGCAGCACCAAGGTCTTTTCCTGGCTGTTCTTACCAGAACTGACGCCCACATTTGCAGCGCACGGGTTTGGCGTCAGGATATTGGACTTTGACGACGTGGTGGCAGTCGGGGGCAGGACACCACTTTAACAGTCGATTACACTGCAGGACAGAGCACAAAACCCACAGGATGGGACAGGGATGTGCACTGGGACACCTCCTGCCCTGCACCCCTTTGCCATGGCTTCAACCATTTGAAAAGATGAAACCCAAACCCACCACAAACATCACTTCAAACAGAGGGCAGTGGCTTCAAACTTGAGCCCAGTAACTTCCTATCCTGTCCCCAACAGTGAATCTGAACACACACAGCTGGGATAATGGAAAGCCTTCCAAAGCACCTTTCTCCACCTTTATTTTGCTTTCTCCACGTTTTATTTTTGCTTTTGCCAAAAACAGTTTTGCAGCTTTACTTCTAATGGCAAATGTTTAAGGTGTGTTCTCTTTCAGGGCCGTGTTTCCTGGTTTTCAGCCTCAGGTATCTCAGGGAACACTGAAGAACTGTAAATATTAAGTGCTCCTCAGAACCTGTATACTAAACAACAGCTCTTGCATTCTCTTCATCTCTAGGTCTTTTGTCATAAAGGTTTTTTAATCTTTTCCTACAACTATCCCTGTAACCCAAAGGGCTACAAAACAATCTCTGTAGTCACACTTGATTAGAGATTATGCAAAAAAACCTGCTCTGTGGTTATAAAATAGCCTCAAGTCTCTGGTTTGGTACATATGCAAGACAGAACCACCCTAGAAATCATTAAAAATTTCAAATAAAAACTCACCTCTACAAAACTATTGGTTATTAGATGCTGGTACTTTAATTTAACCTTGGAATCTGTGATCAGACGCCTGTGGGAACAGAAAAAACAGAAAAATTGTAGTAGAAAACTCATTTTTTCCATACATATCCAATAAGTTAAGACAGAGAAATGGGTTTGATTCATCCTTCTACATTTGCAGTTACCTTTTGTACTTCCTGATCTCCACTCACTTGTTAGATCACTTATTATTATGAAAACTACATGCACTGTATTTTATATATATATATATAAGCTTCAAAAACAGAAAGCTCATGCATTTCAAAAGAACTGAACCTCTTGCTGTGAGGATTTTTATTTTAAAATACTTTCCTGAAGAGCCCAAGAAACAAAGCAAATAATGTAAACAGTTCATTTACATAAAACATGCACATTTTGTGGTAAATCCCTTTAAACAGCTCCGAACAACCGCTGTGTGGTTCATAACTTTGGGAAACCTCAAGTTATCTGGGTTTCACTGGAATGCCACGGCTTCAGGTGAAAAATTTATTGGTGTTTTAACCTATTTACCATAAAAACGAAGTTGATTTGAATTCAACACCACTGAGGGTATACACAATGTGGACTGTAAGTCCAGACATGGACTTTAATTCCCAGTTGGAAGGGGGAGAGGAAAAGCAGGCTGATGGGAACCCTTTAAAAGCACGGCGACCACTTGTCTTCTGGGCACACCAACTCAGGTGGCATTTGCAGACTGCCCAGTCTAAATACATCCAAAATACTTTAATTATGGATAGCTGAGCACCTTTATAAATGTCTTTTAGATACGACTGAAGTGTCTTCCCCATATCTGAATACAAAGCTGGACTAATACGCCCTTTGTGGTGTTTCTGGTTTAAATCCTCCTGTGGAACACAAGCCTTCTACAGGCCATAAACACTGGAATTACTGGGTTATCCATTCCAGGTGCAGCCCAACCCAAGGGTACTCCTGCACGTTATCCTGCCAATGCTCGTTAGGGATGTTGCATAAATCCCAGCCCTGGGCAGCCTGGGGAGCTCCTCACCAAACCACACGCTGGTTATTACATAAAACACAGCACGTGGCAGCTCAGTTCCCAGGGCTAAAATAAAACAAATCAGCTGACAAAGCATCTCTTCAGCCCTGTGTCCATGGCAAGCCCGCAATTCTGGAGTTCAACTTAGTGAAAAATAGAAAAACCCACATTTTAATTTCATACAAATTATAAATTTCACTTTTTTACCCCATACTTGGGCTTGTAGACATAGTAAATGTCACTTCAAAAATTTATTATGTTATCAGAATATATCAGGAACTGGAATTTAAATGAATAGTCCTGCCATGACTAAGCAGAGCACAAAGAGCACACAATCCATTGGTTTTTGCTTATCAAAATGTTTTGATTGCCCCACGTCAACAACCTCACCTGCTCCAGGAACTACAGCACCACTCAGGTCAAGACTTTCAAGAACTTTGCTTGGAATATGACTGTCTTTTGCCAAATCATAAAGGAAACTAGACAAATTAAAAGATGAAATCCCTGCCCAGTGCCCAGAAATCATATTTTGGGGTACATTCCTCTGTGAGCAAAGCTCGAAAAGAAGCAACTTCACCAAAAAAGCCAGGTGGGAACAACAAACTCTTGAAAAGGCAGCCTTTATAACTTTGAGCTTAGTTTGGAACTACACAAACTCAAAACCTCATCCAAAGATGGGAACAATCCTTTATCAGACCATAAATTAGAAGTGAAGCAGAACTCCCTATGACTTCCAAACAGGAACCCAAAATCCATCCATTCCCACTGAGTGGGCTGGTTGCAGAGTCAACCAGGGCAGAAATGAGGGCAGCCTACCTTGCTCATTAATGCAGTTAACAACTTGGCAAGGGGGTGAAAGCAATTCCTAGTGGCACGAGCAAAGGTGAGTGAGGGATAGCCACGGATCACCCCCAGCCAGGCTGGAGGTCCTGGAAGAGACCCTCCCTTCAACCTTCCCACTCTAGTTCAACAAGGAAAGAGGATTCTGAGCTGGCCAAATACTCACAAATCCAGGAAAGTCACCTGAATTGCCAAGTTTGGACTCATATGGAGATAATCCAACTTGGAGGTGAGGGCAAGTCCCGAGAAGGGAGCAAAGGAACAACTTGGCCCATCTACATCAGTGTTCTGATGGATGAAGACTGATGTCCCTACACATGGCATGTTAATCCTAGGTTTCTGTAGCTTGGAAAGCTGGAGACTTTGTAAGAAGGAAAAGACCTAAAAAGAGAATAACTAAGGACACAGAAATGGATGCTGATTCCACTTGGGATTCCTTACATTTTTATTCATGCTATTTCCTAAGACTGCCAGTTGTCCACCTTGGCTTTTAAAGGAAGCATGAGACTTCGGCAAAAAAACGCACCTTCCTCCCCCTGAAATCCAGGTAAGATCAGGGAAAGGTGGATTGTTACCTCTAGAAAATGTTTATAGTGTTACTTAGACAAAGAGACCTTCAGGACCCAGAGCCCTTTCCCTATCCCAGGCCTCCTGTCTCTGCCACCTCCAGGCAAGGGGGAATCCCATGGCACTGCTCTCCTCTTCTCCCATCCTTTCCTTGCTGCTGCCACCACGGCCTCCAGTGATTTCAGCCACTCTGCTTCATATGCACTATTTGAACAGCTCATTCCAACTGTTGCAATGAAGAAAATACTCAAAAAGCTTCCTGCTGAGAGCATTCGACACCTCAAGTTGAAGTTCAAACTCTGGTAAACAAAAATCTCAATCGAGTTACTCAAGATATGCCAACTTCAACTCAGTTTCCACACACTGAACTCTACAAACCAGCCCCTCAACAGGGCAGGAAAGCACTTCAGCTCCTTCCACTTCCATCCAGCCTACACTCCATGACTAACTGAGAGCCACTACTGCAGAGGGATTGGGAAAAATCACTACCCTGAAAGCAACTGATAATAAACCCCAGCAAATTAATATCAATGAGTGAGTCAGGCTTCAGGAAGGAAAGAATAAGGTAACAGAATAAACCCCCATTGAGATGCTTTTTAGCAAGAAGAATTAAAATGAACTTAATGAAGGTTCAGAATTACGAAGGATATTACTCATTCAATAACCTCCTCCAATATAAAAGAGAAGGAAGCTCGTGGAATTCACTGCTCCACCACATGTGAGCAGTCATCCTACAGCTGGATAACTTAATAACTCCAGTGACACAGGCTCACACACCAGCTTAACCAAATCTGGTGTTTGAGGGTACCTTGCTTCCTATCAGGGGCATAAAACACACCCTACACCTGCCTCTACAACTCGTGTCCTCTGACTCACCCATCACCTACAGCTACAGGACTTGGGGAATCAGTGGGTTGGCCTGGGAAGGAAGGCCCAAATTCCTGCATGAAACAAAGGAAACAAAATGCACAAAGCAGTTAAACTGGGTTTGGAAATTCTGCTCTCATGACCAAACTGGTCAGGGAGTCTTTCCTCTCCCAGTGCTGCCACGTGGGTTTTTCAGAGCCACACAGAAAGTCAAGAGACATCCCAATATCAAAACAGACCATCCAAGACAGACCTCTCTGCTGTCTGAAAGCCTGGGTGCAATCTGTTACTAGCATTTGAACACATCTTAACAGCACATGAGTAACAAAATGCAAAGAGAGGAAAGCCAAGAGGTAGGAACTGAGCGTACTCACATAACTGTATTGTCATCCACTAAGATATCACAGCCATGGGCAGGGCATGAAATGGTCTGAAAAACACAAAAAGGGCATGGGAGGAACAGTGTTTATCCTGTGTTTACTTCACAGAGAATTCCAAGGCAACAGACTTCACCACAATCCATAGCAATCAGAGTGCTTTAGCTCTCCCAACACATCCCAGGTGTGGCCCTGTGCAAGATTCCTCCCCCCACCTGCACCAACCCCATGGAGTTCCCTCCAGATCCACCTGTGGCAGAGGCTACGGCCCCCAAACCTTTGGGGGCTGGGTTTTCTCTGGGTTGCTCTTCTGGATTTTTTAAACTTTACTAGGGAAGACTCTCCCTTTTCTTTCCTCCTCCTCTCCAACACCCAGAATTTCCAGAAATAAGCCACGAGGTAAGTTGACATTTTACCTGTCCCATGCCTTCCTCCATTATTTTGGTAGTTAAATATTCACTCCAGCACTGCATACAGAACTTGTGTCCACACTCTAGGCCAGTAAAGTACTGCAATGACAGAGAACACCAGGCATTGGATCATTTTATCACATGGATTCACTCCATAATTTCAATCTCCTTAGTACTGTGCAGTTCACCCATCACATCTCTCACCCCCACACCAAACTTGAGACACTATTTATTTTGCATCATCACCACTACAGAACATTGCCCAGGCAGCTTTAGTCATGCTTCCAAAGCCAGGCTCTAATCCCCAACCCCAGCAGTAAGGAAAGGTGTGGCCCATGTTTCCATCCTGCTTGCCCATTTCAATTTATCCTTGTTTTTTAGGAGTGTACACAGAGCTCTCTCCTGTTTGACTCTGGAAATCAGTCAAATAAATGCAACACTAAACAGGTCACAGTGATAGGATTATTATACAGTCTTCATTCCTCATTTTTTTTTCCACTTGACACATGTGGGTGCTGCCCAAAATCCCAGACCTCCTTAGGAAACTTCCTCCTGAAATCCAGATGCTCATCAGATGAAGACACTAGGGATCCTAATTGGCAGGTGTAAACTGCTAAATAGAACTCAATAATGATCAGCTGTCACAGACAGCAACAAGGACAACTCCATCCTTGTCTGCATCATCTGCACAGTGTGTATCAAGATTCCATCTGGGACTCAGTGGTTACACAAGGGGTGGAGAAGCAAACACTGCTGAGGAAACACTGGAATTAAGGTACTTCGGTCAGCTTAAAGTTATTTTATACCCAGAGCCAGGGGCAAGGAAAACTGTATTTAAAACACTTCACTTGTACCACTATAAGGTAATATTTGCTGGCTTAGCTTTTCAAACCATCATCTTCTCAGCCAGTGAGATAAAACCAGAACTCCACCCTGAGATACCATCAACCTGCATGAAACTCCACAGAGGAAAGGACCCGGAATCCTCTGCAGAACAGCCTGAAACAGCAGCAGGATGGTGGTAACTGAGGAAAGGGGTGTCCATTTTAAGAAAATATTCTTCCCAAACCGCCTCCTTGACCATCACAGATTTATTTTGTCCCTCCCACACGGGTGTATCAGCTGGGTTTTGCTGAGGGAAGGTGCCTGTCAGCACCTCCTTCCCACGGGCTCCCAGGCTGTGATTCACACTGGTCTGGCTCCTGCCACCAGCACAGGCTGGAACCTGTGAGCAGCAACACGGATCAGTCTGACCTGAGCAGTCACTGAAGTGAGCTGAGCACCTGAAACACAGACAACCACCCCAACAAAACCAACAAAAAAATCAGAGAGGAGGCCAACACCTGCGTGGTGCCAGGTACACCAGGCTGAACAAAGAGACCTTCCAATTCCTGAACCTTCCCTGAGCCAGCTAACGAGGGATCTGATGCTCCACAGATGCTGCTGCGCCCAAGTGACATCCCCTGGAGCTGCAGGATTATCACTGACAAGTACCAACAGCTGTAACTTTTGGGATGCCACAGCATGCAACCATCCCAAAGACAGCACTGACTTTTCCCAGAATTGAGGCTTCTCCACATGTGATGAGAAGCAAGCACAGACAAGGGGATCACCCCTTAATGAACCCAGCACTCCTGCAGCAGGCACACACGAGGAACCACCACAGAACACAAAACATCTTCATTTAAGGCTTGTTCTGATTACTTCAGGCAGGGAAAAGGTTTGCTAAATGCCCACAGAAAGGCAGCCACCACACTTCCTCCCGGGCTGCAAGGAATTCAGAGTCTCTTGACTCTTTTCTTTACTTTGAGGGAGTTCCCAATTATTTTTGGCTCAGCTGACAGCAGATGTCAAGGGAGCCAAGCAAAAGGGGTGACATAAAACCCTGAGTGCAAGGGGAGCAGGGGCTCCTGAGGCAGCCCTGGTGTCACCCCATGTGTGCTCATCACCCACAGTCTGGACAACAGCAGGGTGTTCCCAAAGACATCCCCACCCTGCAGCCTGGCCCTCCAAGGAACCTGAGGGTGGGATGCAAGAGAGGAGAGAGGCAAAGCCATGACCCTCTCATTCCTGTCTTACCAGGAAGGGTTTCACCCAAAACAACTGCTGGGACTCAGCACTGCTTGTTGGGGACACAGAGTGGGTAAAATATCTCCCTGAAGTTTTCAAACTTGCAGGGTGAGAGCATCCAATGCCTCATTTTGCTTCCCAAAACCTCAGCCCACAGTTCTTTGGAGATGACTGGAGCTACAGACACCCTGTAGACAAATACCACCTGCAGTGACCCCACGAGAGGGGGAATATTCAAGACTCTGACTTTCCTGTAATAACTGTACACTGCAAAACTTCTTAACAACTCCAAACTCTCAGCTTTCCATGGGCTGAAAGGGGAACTCAGGAAAAAAAAAATACAGATTTTATGTGGAAAAAAAAATTAGCATTGCAAGAGGATTTTCAAAGTCGAGATTTTAGGTTAGGCACTGAACATAAACATAATCCTAGAATTCGTAATTCACATCAACTAAAACAGCTTCAAAACAGATTTCAGTCACCTTTTAGACACAGACACTACAGCCTTTTCCTACAGGCTCCAACTTTTATGTGTGGCAAAGAAACAGAGGTTCCCCTCTGATGAGTCTTGACTTAACATCAACATCAGAGACAACCCTGCTCACCCGCCACTTCTCACTGGTCCAGCTAAAAATCTGCTCTTCTAACAACTGGGCCACTACTATTTTTAACATTTTATTTGAGCTACAAGCTCAGAAGTATTAGTGTGCTTTGTGTAGTTGCTGTCAGGAGCCAGAGAGCTGCTTCCCAGGCAGCACATGTACCCCCAGCAAGAGGAAAGGCCTGTCAACTCTGAGTTGTACCTCCAGCCAGCACAGCAACTACATTTAAAAGGGGAGAATAATATATTAAGAACATGACATCTAAATTTGAAGTTTCCACAAGGCCCATTTGATGTCTCCTCCCATTTTTCTCCCTCAGTCCTCCACCTATTTTCATTTAAAATGTTGCATAGCCTAAAATCACATTTATTTCCTTATTACTTAACATGGAAAGCCTGCAGTGTTTAAGCAGGATTTTAGCATAAGGTACAGGGACAAACAAATTTCTCAAGCTTGTCTTTGTTTTCAAAGCATCTTTTTATACAAGGCAAGCAACAACTCACCTTTCCAGCTACTCTCCAAAAGGCAGGTCAGTGCACACAAGGCTTAAGAGGAGACACACGAAGCCTTGTGGTTCCTGACTCAAGAGCAACAGTGACCTTTAAGGCTGAGAACGTGAGGCCTGAAACTGGGCTTTGCTCAGCTCTGCCTGATCCAGAACAACCAGGGGGCTTCACCCCCAGGCTGCTCATGAGCCCCAAAGCTCATCATGGTTCCCATCCCACCCAGAGCAGAGTGAAGCCTTTTGCCTGGAAAGGTCAGGCACGTGGTTTAGGGTGTTTTGGAGGGGCAGGACACAGCTCCCCCAGCAATGGCAGGTTCCAACCAAGGAACAATTCCTCACTGTGTCATCCTGCCTTTTGGCAAAGCCACAGATGAACCTTCCCATTTGAGCCCCTCCACTCATCTCCTTTTCTCCTGGGATCTCCCACCAGTATGTTCTGCCCCTGGGAAATCACAGCAGAGCCTGGATGTGTTATTGAAGTATGGGAATGCTTCCATTTTGTCAACAGCCACAAAAAGAAGCCCCACCATCACCCACCTAACACAAAGCAGGAGGCTGACCCAGAGCCCCAGCAGGCACTGCCACCCTCATCTCCTCCCACTGAGAGGGTGTTGTACAAACACAAGAAGATCCAGACAGCCACATTTTACTTCTGCTCAGTTTTACTCCAGACTTTCCAGTCTGACTATTTTATATCATTATTTACCACTTTTAAAAGCTCTTTCCTGCCCTGTCACTCTATTTAAGTAAATCCCTTTGCCCATCGTGCTTTCCACATATTTTTTCTTTCATGTACCATTTATTTGCACATCTCAGCTGGTATCTGAACTTGCCAAAAATCACCTGCTTGCTTTTTTCTGAGCTTTCCTACACGGCTGCCCAGGTCCCAGCACCTTCACAGGCTTTCTGCAGAATAAAGTTAAGTTTCAGATGGGAAATTTGGGGAGTTGCTGGTCAGGTACTCACCGAGTTTGGGTAGTTCAGGTAGCAGATCTGACAGGACATATCCTGGGCTGATGACCTCGTGTTCATCTGGCGTGTCCGAGATTTTTTACTTGGATTAATTACATGACACTCTGCAAAGAGCTTCTCCAAGTTGCCATCAAAGTACCTGCACGACACAAGAGAGAATGAAAATTTCACTCCCTCCTCTGTAAGTCATTTTTCCATTCTATTTGGGAGTTAAATGTTGCTTTTAGTATTTCCAACCTTGCACACCCACTACTTCTAACAAACTCTTCATTAACACACCACAGAGGAGGGTATTGGACAACTCCATCACCTCCATCTCACTTGAATTGCACAGTCCTGAAATTCAAGTACCTTCAATTCTTCAGCTGCATTTCAAGTAATTCATGATTCTCCCCCAGTGATTGCTTTGCATTATAACTCCAGGACAGGAAAACTAGAGCAAGAACATCCTACTTTGTAGTCCATCCTAAAGCACAGGTTTGAGGGCCCCAACTTCAATTCTCTTTCCAGTTTAAGCCTTCCATTTTTCCTAATATTCTAATCATCAGCCATTTGAGTATCTTTTGTCTCCAGTCAACCTGAGGTATTTTAACAACCTCCTAAAAAATACAATTTCAGGTTTACAATGCTTCCAAAGATTAGGTACCTTGTGGAAAAGAGGATGCAAAATTGGTTGGGGGGGAGAGAAAAGACCACTTTCTTTCTACTTCCTATTCCCTTAAGGGAAAAGATACTGGTTTGCTTTAAAGGCTTATAATAAAAAGCTGCTCAACCTGGGGAGGAGGACCAGATTGGAAAGAATTGTTGTTAGGCAGCTCAGCCTCTTCCCTGGATCTTTCACATCTTTCTCCAGCTGCAGCAGCTGCAAAGAACTCATTAAATCAGACAATGAACCAGCTCCATCACCTGCACACACATCCCCCAGTCAAACCCAGTCAGTCATTCCCCAGCTCCCTCACAGCACTACCCACCAACAAGACCTGACTCACAATTAAAAGATATTAATTTTCCTGCTGTTTCATATGTTTCTCGATGCAGTTCACATATTTTGGATCTTAAATTCCAGGACACTGAATTTGGGAGGAAGTGGTGAGTTCTGGCATCGCAGCATCCACGAGGCTTTGCCGCTGTTCTTCAGCCTTAGCTCAAGGGATTTAACTCAACCAAGTTATTGTGTTTGCCTTGAGGATTACATTCAGAAATCTATATATTATATTTAAATATAAGTATATAAAACTGTATATTTAGAAAATTTTAGCATGTAAATTCAGTGCAGTCCCATGACAGGGTGTATTTGTTTATTAAGAGTCGTGGATAAATATTAACTCCACAAAAGGTTTCCAACTGCTTCAACTTCCAACTGCTCTTCCAGGCAGCAGGATCAGTGCAGGACATGCTCCATTTGGGGAGAACAGACACAGCTGGGGGCTTTGCAAGGTTTGCAAGGAAATGTTTTGAAGACAAATGATGCACCTTGAATCCTGGCACTCATGGCCAGCTAAATGCTTATGGAAATACCAGAGGTATTTGTAATGGAGGGCTGGTCCTGAATATCCATGTCAGGAACTTGACTTTTTTCATCTGGAATTACTCACACCTTCTGAATACCTATGGAAAGTATTCCTCCTTCCCCATCCTGTTTTCTTTTCATGCATTCTCTTCCTGAGCAAGTAATTTCCACAACTATTTGCACGTGGTGTCTCAGACTCAAAATCGTGCTGTCGCTGGGCCACAACAACCCTAGGAAAGGCAGAAGAAAACCTGGATCTCCCTGAAAACACACAACTCCAATGGATACTCTGGAATAAAGCTCTCCAGCTGCTCCACCACTCCTTATGCAAACACACCAAGGGCTCGGTGGAAAGACTGTGCCAGTTCCTTCAGTGGTTAGGAACAAATCCCGATTCCAATCACCATCCCTTTTTCCCACTTGCTCCAGGATCACCACAGGCCATCCGTGTAGGCAGATCTCCCTTTGCCCCTCCCGTGCTCTTTGCTCCAAGGATTCCCAGGCAGCAGCTCTAACCCTTCCCTGCCACAGCAGATGAGCTCCTCGCTGACATTCCTCCCCTTCCCTGGCCCAGCAAACCTTCTCAACCACCAACTTCTGTTTCCATTCAACCTCCTTGAGCCCGAGGAGCCAAAACTAATGCAATCCCAGTCAAGATCTGACCACAATTCCTACAACTTCACCTGTCTTTCTCCTGCAGATCTCACCCAGTGCACCCCAAACCGTGTCTACCTTTCCCCAGAGCTCCTCCGTGTCAGCGGCTCCATTTTAATCTCCACTGGAAACCCCAGATTCTTTTCCATCTCTGTGTTGATGGGACCTACCATGACACTTTGTACCACTCCCATTCCTGGGATCCTCCCAGCTGTCTGGATTTTCCCCTGGATCCTCCTCTGAACCAAATGCCCCCAAACAGATTTGTGCCAAGCAAATTAATTAACGCCAACATTCATCCCAAAATTAACTGATAAGGGATTTACTAACAGGTTCCATCTAGGATCTCCAAGGATTTTGATTTTTCCTCAAGTTCCCTCTGTTAAAGGGTTGGTTCTTTGTACCTTCATCCTTATTTTCATCCTAGGGAGAAGCACAGCACCTTTAACAGCCTTTTAAATCCTCTGCCCTGCTCTCCCTTCACAATGCAGATACTGAGTAAATCCAGCTCTTCTGATACATGAGGATTTGTTATGTTAATTCTTCAAAATGCATTCTCTTCATTACTAAGTTGGGGTTTCTGCTATTTTAAAATTCATGGACAAACCAGTGAATTATTTTCAAGTCCTTCTGCTTACCAAGACCAAATCCATAACAGTCTCCAGTCTTTTTGGCAGAGGGATCAAGCTGTCAGCTCCTTTATCTTCTCAGAATTTCCTCCTGCTGTCTGTAACTGCCTAATCGCTGTTTTCTAGACATAATCAAATCCTATCCACGGGAATATCAAAGATAAAAAGCCTTTTCACTGCAAAAAACCGCTTCTAGTACACACTTTGGGATATTTACTTCCGTGAAAGAGCATTTGTGAGTGTCAGAGCATCAGAACACTCACAGTAAAAGATATCTCCACATCTAAACTCCTGCCATACACCATTTTTCACCTGTTCAGCCTCTGTTGAATAGTGTAAAGGACTTTTCTGCCCCAAGGAAAGCACCAGATACGTGGAGAAGAGTCAGTCTGGGCCATCCTGGCATCCCTCCTCTGCTCAGAGGGAACAGGGATGTTGCCCACCAAGATAAGCACCTGTAAGGAGCTGCTGCTCTGCCTGTGCCTCCAGGGATGAAATCAGGCCTTGGGTACACGCTGAGACACTTGGCTTTCAACAAAATGACCAGGGAAGGCACATAAAGCAGGAAAGCTGCATTTTAGTCTCTTCATTATGAGGAGGTTCATCCCCAAAACTCCCCTCAGGAGGGATGGACACCATGGGCCACAGGAAAATTGGAAGGTAATCAAGATGAAGTTCAAAGCTGAAGCACCTCCTTCAGGCTCCACCTGAGGTTCCCTGATCATTCTGCACCTGCTGCTCTCCTGTCTATGGGAATCAAGCCTATGAGGCAAACTGTCAAAATATTTGACATCTTTCTTCTCCAAAAAACATGCAGCATATCAGAGGCTGAACTTGAGTACTTCTTCCACTACCCACTTCCATCCTACAAACGAATCCGCTCCAACCCCCCAGAGTCTTGCTTTCCAACACAAATAATTAGTGTTTCACCAGTGGGACAGGGCAGTTTTTAATTGTGGCTGTTACTCCATGGTAGGTGGACCTGTAGCACATCTGCCCTCTCACCACCACCGTGCAATTATTCCATGACAAAGCTGGCCCAGACAGTAACAACCTGCTCATTAAAAATACGCGTAACCAGGCTAAAAAAAAAAAAAAAGTGGTTTAAAACATGGAAATTTTCATGTCACGAGCTCAGAGCTCACCACTTATCCAAAAAGAAGCCACTTTGTTTGTGTGCTTTACTCCAGGCCAGGTTTGATAAGTACTGCTGTACAACCTGCTGTGAGGTTGTGCTGACTCACCATGAGCTAAGGTAGAACAGGCACTGACATGGTACTGTAAACACACACCACTCAACAACAGGGACTGTCGAGTAAAATCCATGTTTTGGGGGTTCCCCCCCACCACCTTAAACTTCACCTATCAGCACAGCAATCACAAAACCCTCCTGAGCACTATGAGCTTTAACACAGCTGAGCACTCCAAAGGATTTCATGGAAGTTATTTGGTGAAGAAGTGACAGAAGGCAACACCAGGTACTCCAGAGATCACGTTTTAGTGTTTTTCTAACACAACAGGACAGCAATGAGCACCAAAACTGTGACCAGTGTGCAACACCTCTGCATAAGCAAGGGTCATGCATTACATTATTCACAGGGGTAATCCTATAGAATTAAGGTAAGTATTTTAATGAGTATGTTTACCTGGGGATTTGTAACTATTAATGGGTACTTAAAGTGTTTTATTGAAAACTGTAAAAGCTTTAACAAAAGCAGCTCACATGGAACCGGCTGACACCTCCCTTTGAAAAAAAACACAGCCTAATTTTTATTTTTTAAATTGATGGCAGCCTTAAACAAGCTTTCAATGAGAAGGGACAAAATCTACTGAATAAAGGGATGACATTTCAGTTACACTCGTGGAGAGGCATCTCACAGGGAGATGGAGGCAGCCAAGGAGGGTGAACTTTAGCCTGACCAAGAGAACCAGCCCAAGAAACTCAAACAAAGAAGTGGACACACATTGCAGAGCAGGAACTAAATCAGAATGTTGAACAGCTGCAGCCAGAGTTAAATAGTGGCTATATTTGTAACACAAAGGTTTCAGACTTCCAACATAAACTCAAAGAGGTCAATCTCAGGAAAATAAAGCAAGGACTAGAAAGCTGTAAAAAAAACATAATCACTTCAGAAAAAGAAAAAATCTAGGTTAAACAAAACAGAAGAGATACCTGAGCACCATCACTGAAAATATTCTACAAAGGGGGCTAAAGGTGTCCTAAATCCATTAGCCCAGGATAGCAGAAATATTTATACTCCAAAATAATTACTAACAGTCTGAAAACCTGTTGCTCCTCCTTCCCTGGGTGACAGAGCACCCAACTACAGGGCCTGAGATAAGTGACATTTATCATTCATCCCACCACCAATTGCTCCTGGTTTACAACCACAGAGCTGCCATCTTCCCATTCCCTGATCATCAGGCAAAGGAAATGGTAATTAAGAGAAAGTCAAACAAACAATCCAACCAGGCCCTGAGTCCTTCTGCCCTCACTACCCACTCACTGGCCACTTAACACTTGTTAAGATGAGCAAAGACCATAACAACCAGTAAGACCCTTTACAGTCTTTACTGCTCCTTCTGGTCCACATTAATTCTCCCCCCAGCTTCTGAAGTAAACTGATTTCTCCAGCTCCCTTAACTCTCTTCAACACCAACAGTGGCATTGAAAAAACCCCAGTGCAGCTGGATTTGGCCTCCACTGTGCAACAACAAACTATAAAAAGTACTTTTACCAGCAACATTCCCCAAATGGGAATCAAAGATGAGAAATAAGCATAAAACGCTCTGCTCTGAGGGGGAGGGAGAGGCAAAAATCAAGCCATTAGTTACACACACACTGAAGAAAACCTGAGAGCTGCAGAGATGAAGACAAGGCAGGAACATTATCAGTCAGAAGCAATTTCGTCTTGGCCAGACTAGTAAATAAACATGTCAGGAATACACATGCCAGCATGACAGGCAAGAGCAGCGAAACCCAAACCCAAAACACTTGCAAGATAACAGGAACCTGTTCCTGCTTGCTTTTTTCCAGAGCCTGTCCAAATGCTGTGCCTGTATGTGCTCAAACTGGAAATCCCTCTTTCCAATGGGCAACTTCCACGACTTCTAACTCTAACAGGCATTAATAATATTTAGACAAGGAGGAACATTTAGAAAGGGGGAACATTTAGAGCTTACACAAGAGATTCTCCTGCCACACACACCGTGCATCCCTCCAGCCTCACATTAACCCAGGAATAAACATTTCCTGCAGGTCTGAAGCACAAGGTGGCTGCTTACCTCTCCATCAGCTTCTCCTTATCCCAGTTGAAATGGCTAAGCAGTATTCGAGTAATAGTCGCTGGATTCTGGAGAAAGAAAAGAGAACCAATCATTAATTGAGTAACCAAACTGGTATGAGAACACCAAGCAGAGTTTTGAATAGGCAAAGGGAAAATCAGTGGGTCTGACAGCAATATCTGTGCACACAATACATGGTTACTATCATAAGCTGGACTTGACAGATAGAAAAATAAAAAAACCCACTTCTGTAAATCCAAGTGTCTATATAAAATGAAAATTGGGCTGAAAACTTAAGGAACAGGTCAGTTACTGCAACCACATGAGGTGATTAAGTGCCACCATCTCCACACCCAGTGTGCCCACACAATGGAACCCCAGGATGTCTGTAAAATGCAGGACAGGCTGATTTCCATCCATCCTACCCATTTTTACCACAACCTCCACACTACCTGCAGAGCAAGAATATTCCTTGTTTGTCCCAGCCCTGACCACCAAAACACTTGGGCTGAAAACTCTCCCAGAACACAAGTGTAAGATGACAAAGTCCTTGGAATTTCCTAAATGTTCCCAAAGCACAAGATCCAGAAAATACTCACAGAGTCACATAGCTAAGGAAAGAAATACAGCCTAGAAAGGTCAGAAATAGGATGGAAAATAAAAGCTGATTTTCACTTGTGTACAAGTTTTTCTTCCAAGTAAATCTGTACCACCAGCCAAGGGTTTGGTTATATGAGCTGGGAAACACAATGAACCACACAGCTTCTGTTACACCCCAGAACCATGGTTTAGCTCCCTAAATCCACACTCTGGGCTCAGTTTTAGGACCATTTCCATGCAAGGGAGACAAGAGCAGCCCCTGAGAGCTGCTGTGTGTACTTTGCCATCTGACACCAAAATGGAAGTTTGCCCGAGGGCCAATGTTCAATGGATGCTCTGAAGCTGTTGAAAAGTAGGACAGAAACCAGCAATGTGATTTCCTGAGCCCTCCAGCTACAGCCCCAACGTGGAGCTGCCAAAAGCCAATGCTGTCCCCCACGGCAGCGATCCCACCCCATCCCTGCACGCCCTGTGCTCACCAGTCCATCCCAGTACAGCCATTTTTATGCTGCAATGCCGCAAATACTGGCTCAGAAACTGATTTTCTCTTTACCTTTAAGTTGGTTTTTCATGGAATCAGTTCCCCAATCTGTTTGATTGCCTGACCACACAAGCAGCTGCATTAGCACGAGGGGAAAGCAGGGCAGCATCTCTCACCACCACCACCAACAAAATCTTCTCTGAAATAAAGCCCTCGGGTGAAAACGTAAGCACAAAGAATAGTCTTGTGGTTCATACTATAAAAAGTGACACTCCTCTCCTTCTGCAGCGTGTTCTGACTCTTATTAATGCCAGCACAGATTGTTTAAGGCCAAATTAAGAATTTTTCCAGCTTAAAAAGCCCATGTGAACAAAAGCAGCTTCGGAAAGGTTAGACCAGCTGGGATGGCAAATCTCCACAGCATAGGGCAGAAAATACCAGAAATGGGGATTGCCAAAACACAGTGTGGTGAAAATGTGGTCCCAGTCCATATCTGAACCAGTCTCCCAGGTGATGTGGATCCAAGCCCTTCACTGTGATTCATGAGGTGCCTGGTTGACAGTCACATGCCACCAGTTTTCCAACAGCATCCATCCCTGATCCAGAGACGGGGGCAAGCAGTTCAACTGTTCCAAGTCAACAGTCCTGCCAACAAGAAGCTGTATGGGAATTTAAAGATCTCTTTCACCAAAAGGCTCCTGCAGCAGCCTCTTTCAGGGTTTAGTTTTTGATCTTTCCAGGTTATTTTGCATTTGGGGTCTCCACAACACCTTTTCCTGTAACTCTGTATTGTGTAGCAGTACCAAAAGGAGCTCTTAAAAGCTCACTTAGACACAATTCCTAGAGCAATTTAATCAAAGATGAAAATACACCTCAGTAAATAAACCAATCTTATCTCTAGATTATCTTGGTTATGATACCAGCACCTATAACTCTAAATTACGAGTTTCAGACAGCAAAGCACACAGCTCTTCAACACAAGGAGCCTTCACTCAGCCCAGAGATCTGCCAGGTATACACAGAAACACTTCCTTAATTTCTCAAGCAACAGCACTAAGAGAGCTTTAATTAAAATCAGCCTGAAGTCTTGTCCTACCTTCTGCCACAGCAGCCCACTTGGCCACTTATTAAGGCTTCTGGGAACACCTATTAATCACTTAATAGGCTGAGAGGCAGCTGAGGTAGTGGTCTCTGGCTGACTTTTTAAAAAGACAGAAGGTTCCCCCTGCACTGCAGGATAAGTTATGGCACATTAATAAGGAACTCGAGTGGTCTGCAGTGATTATTAAGCACAACAAGGCAGATCCAGCAAATGCCACTCACCAAAGGACACGTGGCCATGAAGAACAAGAGGGTTTCATTTGTGGCTTCTCCAATTTCCCAACACATTGGCACCACAGCTTTCCAAAACAAGATTCCCTAGGTCAGATCCCCCCAGGTATCCCAGCAGTGCAATGTCAGCGTACAAAGCATGTTATTTAGGATTATACTGTATTATCACCTTCTCCTGCCTTGCTGGGCTCCAGCTTCCTCCAGCTACAGGTTCAACATGTTCATTTAAAAAAGAAAAGGAGACACCAGCAGCATGACAAGCTCCTACCAGAAATAGCTGGGCTGCCTGCTTTTGCTGCCTGCCACATCCAAGATGTGGTATTTAAAACTAAACTGCTTGTTTAATGGATACAGGAGGCCAGGATTAACACAGCCGTGCCCTTGCTCATCCCTGCAGAGTTACAACCTCAACTGGCAGCACACAGGGAACACGGGAGACGGGGAGGGAGGCAGCTGGGAGACAAATTACAGCTAAAAACAAATGCCAAAACCTCTGGCACGAAGGACTGTTGCAATTTAAGGCCAGACAGACCATCGGGGTACCAGGAACAGCCGCTCCGCAGGAATCACCCACGTGTGCACACTCTCCTCACCATTATTGGAGAGCAGGGTTGGAGGAGTCAGCCACAGCACCCACCCCAGCCAGAGGTGTGTCCTGGACCTTGGGCATACAGGACACCAAAATACTGTGATGTTTCAACACCAGTTCTGCTCCAGCCCTTCATCAACACTGCGCTGCTGCACGAGCCCCCAGCCATCGCTTCAGACGCTCCCGCTGCGAAAATTAATGGAATATTTAAACAACACTGTGTTCCACAGCACTGGGATGGTGCAGCCTCTGCTCTGCAGCTGCTGGGCTTCTCCTCTGGCACAGGGGATTACTGCCTACGACTAACACCACCAAGATTAGTTATGAACAGGCTACGCTGCTGCTCAGACGGGATTACTCCCGGGGCTCGGAGCGTGTGCTCCTACTAAGGCTATTTTCTGTTTACAAAGAGGAATTTTCCTAAGGAAAGCAGCCAGAAACGGACAGCGAGCGAAGGAACAGCCAACATGACCGTGCTCTGATGAAAGCTGAACCAGCACATCTCCCTTACAACAGCACCTATTAAATTTTACATGTCGGAGCCGAGGCGCTTTGCCTGGAGCCGAGGGCAGCGAGCCTGTTGATATCCAGATAGGAACAAACCCGAGGAAAGCAGCCATTTTGTCGAAAATCTCCGGGCACTTCAAAAGATTCCCTAACAAAACACTCCGAATAAAGCTCCGTCCAGAGAGAAACACACTCAGTCCTTCAGCAGGGGCTTTATATGTATTTTTTTAGGCTAACAAAGGAGCCAAGTCCCAAATGTGCTTCAAACAGATCCCACTCCACCACAGCTTTTCACTGGAGGTATTTACATTTACTGTCCTTATCTATGTTGCCATGCTCCAGCACACCAATGCAAGCAGGAGATACGGCCCTGCAAAAGTCTGGACTTCTCCAAAGAAGCATTATTAATTCAAATAAAACTCCTTAATTTAATAGAATTTAATTCAACTGGAAGCTTGGTCACTGATACGAGTTAGAATTCTTTTTTGCTGTCAAAATAAGAAAGCATGAATTGGAAGGAGGAACCTGGATGCACTTAAATGATAAATGAATTATAAATTAAATATTATTAGGACATTAGCTTAAATCAGAATTTCCAAGTAGCCCAATTTGCTGAATGACAGTTTGGAGCACTCGATCCATTCATGTTTCCATCCATCAAGACGAGCTGCACAGTTAATTCTTGCTGTTATTACCAAGAAAAGCACATTTTACAGTTCAGCTTCTCCTCACACACTGGGAGGAAGCTCCTGGTTCACTTTCAGCATTCATGGCAAACAAAAACCATTTGAGAACAACTTAACCTCGGTTCTCCAGCAAAATCCTTTCCCACCTCCTCGAGACACGGTATCCATAAATTCTTTGTTTTGTTTCTTTCCATGTCATGCCTGGTTTTGTTTTCTACACGTGGCAGCTTCTGCATTTCAACAGCTTTACTCCCAACTGCAGCACCTCCATCCCAACAGCAGAGGTTTTTACAGCACTCAGGGTTTGATTCTGCTTCCACTTGGGTTTTCTACACTCTGGAAACACTGGCTTTGCCCAAGCCTCAGACACCTGTGACCAGTGCACACCTCAGCAATGTCCACTGCCATATTCCATGGGGGCATTAGTGACACAAAACAGGATTTAAATTCCCCAGCGGAAGGGAACTGATGGTTTCCCACCGGCTGACAGCAAAGACGGAGAGTTTTGCTTGGTGGAGGAGCAAAGAGCCATCAAAAGCTAATGCTGGCCTGAAACCAAGCAGCACAAACATCTGCTCCAGTGGCACCTGGGGACAGGGTGTCACCACCACTGTAAATATTTAACAGCCAAAACCCCAGTGTTTGCAACAGGAGAGCACCAAGTGGAAATTCCCGCTGCCCTCCGAGCACACGCAGGATCACACAGGATCACACAGCATCTCCAAAGCTCGTCACGTGCACACCGTGCCAGGGGGAAGAGCTGATAAATAACCTACATGTCACGTTTTAGGGGAGCAGGGAGAGCAGGAGCAGCCTCACCATGGGAGGGATGTGACCAACACCACACACCAGGCACCAAACAGCTGCTCCGTC